ATGTTTTTAAGTCAAAACATAAAACACACGACTTAATAGTATTATTCTCTTGATATTTAATTTTTCAATTACCTTTAGTCCACTTCTTATTAAGTCTTGTTAAAGATTCCATCTCTCAACTATTCCTCTTATATTTTATATCATTATATTTAATTTTATACCTTATATATATATATTATCATTATACTCTCACATCTCTATCATTCTTTTTTAGACATTTCATGTATCTCAATTTATCATTATATATCTTATTTTTGACATTTTTTTTCCTATTTCAACATGTTTTTATTATATATATATGTTGACATATAAAAAAATGCTACTTCTTAATATTATTCTTCTCATTTTTTTTTTTACTTATTTTTACTCCACTTGTCAAAACATAAAATTGTGCAGTTACATTTTGTAAGACTTGTCTTCTATATGTTAATCCATCAAGTACTTTTTTTTTTTTTTATCTTAGATTACACAATAAAAAACAATTTTTTAATCCCTTGATTTATCTCATTTATATGCCATATAATTTAAACTCAATATTTTTATTTTCATTAAAAAAAATTATTACCAAATTACTTAGATTAGTGGCCCATCAAGTACCATTGAAGAACTAGTTGTTTGTCAATTAACATGGATGTAACAGGTTAGAGTACCCTTGTACTCCTAAGCAATAAATTTATTTTTTGCTGTGAAAAAAAAAAAAAAAACCTAGTTTTTTGTCACATATCCATAAACTTTCCAGTTTGTATAAACGGATGATCTGTTTTTGCTAAATTACTCATTACCAGAAAAAATATATATATATATATATATATTTTTTTTTTCACTTTCATATTTAACATCAGTGCATACTTGAAGCATGCCAATAAGATAACTTTATATTGGAAAGGGTTATTTCGGTTTTCGTTCTTTTTTTTAAACGAGTGGATCCCATTCCTCCCAATAGTAAGCGATAATGACATATCTCCGCCCTTTTCATACTTACTGGGAAAGGCAAAACAGAGTATCCTGCACCTCCCCTGCTTCACCGATTTTCTCTACAGCTGGCAACAAAAGTTCCTTTTTGTTCTTAACACTAACAGTAGTGAACCGTCACTACATGCCTTTAGTGTGACCGCTTGCGTTCCCTTTTGTAGTCACAATATTTGAAAATTCAAGGTTTCACAATTATCTGTTTCAATTCTCGTTTTGGATTTATGTTTTCCAAATTTCTGACAATGACATTCATCAACAGTTTTATCTCCTAATTTCTTTATGCATGATGTGTTTCAGCTGCAGGGAGTCTTGGAGATCAAAGAAGACGGCGAGCTTTGTTGGTATTGAGAGCACTTGCTTATATGATAAGTGATACATATATACAATCCTGGCAAGGTTTTTAGTAATCTGCATACAAACTAATTACAAGCACTCAAATACACAAACGACTAAATTCTCATGTGAGCGTTTAGCTTCACTTACTTCAAGCTCTAAGAAAACAACTTGGCAGTACTTACCGTTTATAATAAGAAAGATGCGAATATATGGTTTGTACGGCTGCAAGTATGAGCAAGGAAACAGCAGCAAGGACCGAAATCAATGCCCATGGAGTGTTGAAGTAATTGTGCTTTAAGTTTGCCATCCATAAATTCCACTTTTTTTCACGATATCCCTTCACCTTGATAAATATCTCCGAATAGAAGCTCTTCTTGGAAAACACAATTGAGTCGCATAGCTTGTTGAATACGGTGGCAACAACCTCATCATCACCTAACCCATTATTAACAATAATTCCAGAGTGACGGAGTAACTCAACATCCTTGCTGGTGTTAATCAAGCAATCCATGAATGTGACATAATCAGTGACATACCTTGTGTCGTTGTTGTGGCATTGTTCGTGGACAATAAAATTGCGAAGGATGGAGTCTGTATAAGCATACATTTTTATGGTTGGTATCCACAGTACATCGTTCTCAAACTTAATATCAAAGAAGCTCTTCTCATTACCCATCTTGATGACCTCATTTCCTGCTTCATCGATCTCTGGTTTAATAACAATCTTCTCATGATCTATCTTCTTGAACTTGATTCCTGCTTCATGGAGCTCTGTTGCACTATATTTAAAATTCCATCCACCATATTCTTTTGAAATCTTTCTGTAATTATCTCTTGCTTTAAGCGAAGGAACCCAGCTATCAAGCACTAAGCCGAGTAGATTCTTGATATTTTGGTCACGGATTACCAATCCATTTCCGTAGCCTGGCATCACTCTAGAGAAGAAAAGTAGAGCCAGAGGAATGAAGCCCTGAACGTTCTCTTGATTAGGCCCCCCAGTCATTTGAAACAGCTTCGTTAGTACAAAGAAAGGCAACTGATTTTCCACCAGTAATAAATCACGCTTTAAGCTAAACCTGTTGAAGTTTCGAAAATCAACATCAATTTTCTGCGTCTCAGTCTGATTCTCACGAATTAGCTCAATGATGAAGCAGCCATCAAGGATCATCATTTTTGCAAGTGCATCTCCATCAAACTTAGGATTCAGAGGTTCTGCATAGCATTCGCGAATCTTTTTTTCCTCATCTTTCAAAGCCATCAGATATCTATGCGCACTAGTCTCCCCTCTTCTTTGAAGGAGCCTTTTCAGATAATGCATTTTGTGCACTTCCATGCCTTTCAAATGATCTTTTCCATGATGATAAGGCCCGATTGAGATTATATGAGGTTCGTACGCCTTTTCATTTGTCTGGCGTAGTAGATTAGGTACTCTGAAAATACTACACCCAGATGATGAGACTGTTGAAAATGAAGAAAGCTTTTCGTGATCTATCCAAATGGAGAGATGATCAGTTGCTTCATGTTCATCCTCCATCAATTAACTGCTCAAAAATATGAAAAACGGTATTATTGGTAAATGAAGCTACAAGGATTCAACATCATATACCTAGGAAATTCCAGGTTAGTTTATCACATGGTAAATATTAAATTACTGATAAAAAGATGGAAAAGCCGAAAGCATCATCAAACTCAATTGATCCAAAGGAGCAAACTGGAGAATGGGTTAATAGCAGAAAAAGGAGAAATATATGGATTGATTTTCCAATAATCCCTTACTTCAAAAGAGCTATAAAAACTTAATTTCGAATTTAGCGTCAATAGTTTTAAAATTCTAGGGTAAGTGACTTTCGCTGTAAAGAGGAAAATGATCCTTGATTTCTACAATAGTTTTTTCCCCTTTCCAAGAAA